AAATCTAGAGAGCCCATAATTAAAGAATAGTATTATATCATCCTTTCATTTCTTTTAGATAAATTCAGATTCCCCAAACAAACCATGTTGGTTTCTGGTAATTGATAGTGAGGTTAAAGTTCCAAGCAAAAAGACCCTTAAGTAATTTAATTTCTGTATTCAATCTCATTTGAAAAAAAAAAAGCCTCCTAATCCCATGTAGCATTGATGTAACTTGAGATAATTCCTTAAAGTATTTATATCACTCAAGAGGCAGTAGCAAGTTGCCACATCATAAGGGTTAAGGAATTTTTGAGGGAAACTTTGACAAAATGTGCTTTTACACTTTACCTACTGCCTTTAATATCTGACCTCCAAGTAAAATGGAACTTGATTGTGTTTCATTTTATTTTCTTGTGAAGAATGTTTCAGTTTTAAAGGTAAATACTAATTTTTTCCTTTAGAAGGGCTTGGTATAAGTGTATAATTTTGACATTAAGTTTCATGTACTTGTTTTATTTTCTAGTCAACTGGTGAAAGAGGAGAGTTAAGTTGTGGCTGGGTGTTTCTTAAGCTTTTTGATGCCAGTGGGATTCCTATTCCAACAAAGTAAGTAGACTGTGTATTCCTTCAAATTAGTTATTTTGAACAAATTATTTTTTTAAAAAATTTGGATACCTCAGGTTTGCAGAGTGTATGCTCCATTAACATGTCACCAACTTTTGAAGAGAGAGCTTTTAGTGTTGATTTTAATGTTGTTTAAGGTAGTATATGAAAATGGCATGCACAGCTCATCCTAGGGAGAAATGATACATACAGAACAGGTATTTTAAAAGATGTTTTCCCTGGCCGTTTGCTGAGAATATTCTTCCAGTCATTTCTAAAGGTATTAACACATTTCACAGAACCTGATTCTATCCAAAGAATGGTAAAACTATGAATGAAGTTCCAAGGGCCTCTGTGACTCTGCCTTTCTTTTGTAGGTTGTTGTTGCTAGGTGCCGTCAAATCAGCTCTGACTCATAGTGACCTTATGTACAACAGAATGAAACACTTCCAGGTCCTGTACCATCCTCACAATCCTTGCTATGCTTGAGCCTGTCATTCCAGCCACTGTGTTAATCCATCTTGTTGAGGGTCTTTCCCTTTTTTGCTGACCCTCTGCTTTACCAAGCATAATATCCTTGTCCAAGGAATGGTTCCTTCTGACAACATGAGTAAAGTAGGTGAGACAAACTCTGGCCATTCTTGCTTCCAACGAGCTTTCTGGCTGCACTTCTTCCAGGTCAGATTTGTTAATTTTGACAGTATTCTTCTGTAGAACATTTAAATCGTAACCACTATAAACAAATTTCAAATTTAAGACCAAAAAAATACTGGTACCAAATATTTACAAACATAGCAGTCAGATTATCATATCTGATAAAAAGAGCTCTGAAAAGTTAATAAGAAAAGGGCACTCTTAATTTAACAGTGGGTAATATATATATACATATATATATATATATATATATATACACACACACACACACACACACACATATATATGTATACGTATATATATATATATATATGTATATATATAAGCTTAAGATATGGATAAGAAATTCACAGAAGAGATACAAGTGGGTAGTCAGTGGAATGGTGATTAAGATTTCAGGTCTGGAATTATAAAACTAGGACTCTAGTCTTGGCTCTGGTTGTGTAATTGTAGGCAAGTTCCTTAACTTTCCACACCTCAATTTTCTCTATCTTTGTAATAGTTCCCATAGTGATACTGCCTCAGAAACCCAAGGAGGGGTGGCTATGAGTCAGATCTGACTCGCCGGCAGTGAGTTTGGTTTTGGAGACCCCAGATATTTATTGTGAAGATTAATTTAGATAATGCTCCCCCAGTAGCCTGTACTGATACAACAGTGGGGGTGGGAGAGATGTGGCTTTGTTACCACTGGGAAACAGGAAAAGTCTTGACTCCACTGGTCTCCCCTGACATCATCCTGTGAGAATGGGAGGGACACCTCAGTACTGAGGTGGGAAGGGCACATATAGTCCAGTCTTCTTATAGTTACTTTTTTTTTTTTTAATTGTGATTTGGGTGAAGATTTTCAGAGCAAATTCACTTTCCATACAGCAGTACATATATACTTTGTCTCATGTCATTGACCACAGTTTACCACAATGCAACAGCTCCCCTCCCACTTCCTCCCCATAGTTAACTTCTTCCCAGTGTCCATCCCTCCATACACTCCTGTCCCCTGAGCTGTCTCCCTGTGCATAAGCAGCCCTTCTTTCTCCCATGACTGTTCTCTCCAAGGAGTGTATCTACTTGAGGTAAATGTTTAACGCATATGCCAGTCTTTTGTTTGGCTGGAAAACACAGGTGTGAGTTCAATTCTAGACCTGAAGCGTAGCTAGGGGCCATAGTCTTAGTGGTTCCACCAGGCTCTATTGGACCAGCAAACCTGGTCATCCCCA